TTGATAATGGAACTATGACCTATAGAATAGGAGATAGTTGAAGAAACGCAGCACAGGTAGCAGAAAGAGCGTTAGAAGAAATTAGATGTGATTGTGCTTTTAATCATGATCCCGACTTTGAATACATCATCGATGATAACACCAATAGCGGAGACCACAGAACTCAGTGTATAATCCAGGTGACCTTGAGAAATGTTGCGATTATTGCTGTGCACTCCTTATCGATACTGAATTGCCGTCTCTTTGTTGCGATACGGTCAAAATTTTACTCAGTGACATATTCAAAGAACCTCCTCCACAGTAAATGAACGATATCTTATCGGATCCAATGACGTCTAAATATTCTCGAACAGTCAGTACTGGTGATTCGAGAGGTAGAGCTTATTCAATGACCATCAACGGATGTTTATTGCATAGAGTTGAAGGCGTGATAGCTCAAGAAAATGGTCAAGAGAAGTTTGCAGAAATTTATACACTAGATTCAGATTTCGCTACAAACCCTCCACATTGAATCGCTTAGAGGTGTTCTTCAAATCGATGAAGAACAAAATAAACTTGAGGACTACATTAGGAAGATTGGTGAGTTTCTCTCTCAACACAATTGTTATGCACAGTTATACTCCGCTAGAGAAATTGTTCAACAGGAAACAACAGAGATGGGATTAACCAGAGAAGAAACTACTGTTGAATTTTCCAATATTGAATTAACAGCACCAACAAGCTGAGATCATCAAATTGCCAGAGGTTAAAGAGTTCGCCTTGGTACACAGACGCATAACAGGAGAACATACTTCAATTTCAGTATGTATAAAGGAGAGCTGTACAGGTGGCCTCACTTTTATCAATACTATGTGCAAGAGTGTTTTTTCTGTCATTGAGATGTTCTCCTTTAATATATCAAGGGGAGACGAATCTTATTCATACTAACAGTACTTATATTAGTATCATTCCATCATATCGACACTATACACAGGCTTGCGAATACTTATACGAAATCGAAATCTTACTCTACAGCTTTA